CCATTTGCTTTCATTCCACATCAGATGTCCTTCAATTATTTTCTTCAGCAATAATTATTCGCTGGACAACTTACCATTGCATGGAAATGTAGGTACATTGCAGGTAAGTTTGTTTTTTGCACTGTACGCAAAACCAATCATTAAGACAATAACACTTAGCAGCCTGCAGCAAGAATCTGAACTTCCATCAGAGGAGCATTATGTAGTCAGGTTCCCCCTGAGACAACGCTACTTCTATGAACAGCAATTCTTATTCATTAGAGCCCTTGTTACCTTGTGGCTGCTAGCGCTGTGCTAGATTTTGTTGACTGTGATTAATATCTCAAACAGTTTTATTTATCAATGTCCCTAAGCAAAATATCTACTCTTGTTGCTGTGAGCAACTAATCTGACGTATCCTTCCATGCTCCCACAATACAAAGTCACAATAAAAGGGATGCTTTACTTATTACAAGAATGAAGACACTGTCCCCAGAGACACATAAACACCCAAGGTTAAATTACTTTAATGTCACTTTCCTTTCATTCTCCCTTACTGCACTCACAAAATGCATAAACTGGTAGCTACATCAACATGTCTTCCCTCTAAAACAAATTCTGCAGAAGACGTACGTTTTAACGTTAAAATTTTTAAGTGGTAACATTTAGTCATTAAAAAGTTACAGGTGGCTTCATCTTTGTCAGATTCAGGCCAGGTTTACACCTAGGCGACACCTCACCGCACGGCAATCATGCATGGTTTCGCTGGGATTGCCGCGCGGGCAGGAGTCGCCAAGGTGTGAACCGATCGCGCTGTGAGTGCCATTATCGCGCAGTTTCCCGCCGCAATTCTGCCCGTGCTTCCGAACACGATCACGGCTAAAACAGCAGCACATCGTGTATTGCAAAAAAAAAGGTACTTGTACCTTTTTTCTGCGATTGCCGCGCGAATGTCACCCCATGACGCAATCGATGTCTGCAGTGTACAGGACTGCGCGATCCCGGGACGCGCATCCCGGCTGTTGTGCGGTGTAGTGCAGGTATGAACCTAGCCTAAGCCAACCATAATGATGGTCAAACCAGAAGTACGGTACATAAAACGATTAGTACGGAACACTCTTTAACTTGTGAAAGGTAATATAAATTGCACTCTGGGTATTGCACACATGCACCAAATTGTGCTTTGTGTAGCTGTATATTTTACTTGCAGTTCAAACAGTTGTCTATCTTCATCAAAGTTTTTGGGTGGCCTACACAAGGGCTGACAAGTGGCATTCTAAAAGTAGAGTTACTGCTCACCACTGCATAACGTGTGTGCATATAAAATATATATATATATATCTATATATATGGACCTCAGATAGTAGTAGCCTCAGATGGCATCTCACTGGGGGGGTAGCAGTATGGAGGACTAACAGCAATTTATATTGTACATACAATGGACGCCGCTACAAAACCCCACGTAGTACATTGATATAGGCTGCAGGTCTGAGGGTGACATTTGCCTAAAAATCAATGTTCCAGCCCAATGACAAAAAAAAAAAGTGGAGAAGGGTGAAGTTTAGCACAGATTGCAGTCAGCTGAGATATTTCGCAGCGCCATATTACATGGAATGTAACCTTTGAATACAATGACACTTTCTCGTCAGCTCTTCTTTCATTACCATAACATGCAATAAGATAATTTCCCCCAAACTGGCAATCAATCAGTTTACTTTTCTTGGCTTTTGTACGCAAATCAGGCCAAATAGTTGCACACAGCTGCACACACATCAATGGAAAAATGACTCTTGTTTCTTCTCGTCACATTTGTTTATGAATGTACACCTAAACTTATGTCGATTCAAATTTGGAGCAAGGTGGCCTTTTTCCATGAATGAAATGATCGGGCCCTGGTTTACACAGCCTCCCTTACATACTTAGCAATTATTTAAATAACAAAAGGCCAAGCTGACTCACTTTCAGTCATTCAGGGGCACGCCCTTTACTAAAAGAACTGCTCGCTCTATTGATGAGACCAGATGGGAAATATTGCAAAATTGTTTTATTATCACTGTCAATACGTGTACATATCATTGTAGGAATAACACTATAGAACCTATAATGAAATAAACAAAATGTGTTTAATGGAGTCCAACAGCTGTCCTAAGAGAAGTGAGCACGTGTTTGCTTCAAACATCCACAAAAACCAGAGAACGTTCCTTTTGTCATATTCTCCTCAACACAACTACTTGTTTAAAGTCAACACAAGTTTATATTTTATTTTACTTTACTTTAGTATATTGTATATGTGCACATATATGTAGTATATCGGCATATTGTATATGTGTACATATATGTAGTATATCGGCATATTGTATATGTGTACATATATGTAGTATATCGGCATATTGTATATGTGTACATATATCTAGTATATCAGTATATTGTATATGTGTACATATATGTAGTATATCGGCATATTGTATATGTGTACATATATGTAGCATATCGGCATATTGCTGTTTGTGAATTCGCTAGGGAGGGTCCTCCTCACTATTTGCGCAGGTGACCATTGTCCCTGAGACGTAAGGTTTAGGGAAACTTTTTGAGTAGTTACCAGAGATAAAGGGCTAAATGAAACAGATTCCCCCATACACAATAACAGTGTTGATGGATGAATGTCCCGCTGTGTCTTTTGTATTCTGACAGTGGATGCCTTCCTTGTCAGAATACATGAACAGTGCTTGCAACTGATTAGCTGCAGTCACTGTTCGGCCATAGATTTTTGACCCTATCCTGCATCCAGGGACAATCATCTATCCCAAGTTGCATGTAATTGTACCATGTAGGACTGCATGCGGACTGCCCCTGTCACCCTGACATTAACTTTAATGGGTACAGTGACCGCACCTGAATGGGGACACCTGTGAATCCTGATGCAGGAATTGGCAAGTTCTTGCCGCAGGAGTCCCAGATTTCAGCAGGGCTTTAGAATACTGATGAATTCTGTGAATCAGCCAAATTTCTCACAGTGTATGGCCAGTGTAACTTATCCGAAGTGTGACAACAGGTCTGGTGACAACTGTCTAAGATGAGACTTCCCCTCACAAATGCATCTGCTGTTACCCTCTCATTGACGTCAATAGGTACAGCAGGGACACCTGGGATTACCTGCCACAGGAATTGGTAGGTTCTTGCTGCAGGATTCCCAGGATGCAGCAGGGCCCTAAAATTTCAGATTTCTGTGAATCAGCCAAATTTCTACCAGTGTAACTCATCCAAAGAGTGACAACAGTTCTGGTGACAACTGTCTAAGAGGGGACTTCCCCTCAGTTTGGATAGGTTTCCTCTCGTGTGCTGTTGCATCTCCAGGACAGGAATTGAAGGCAAATCAGGACATAGACTGCAAGAAATAACCTGATAGGTGTTAAACTTTAAATAGTTCTGCCTGTCCAGTCTTTTCTTCCCCGCCACCCGTCTGATGAGCCTTTCATTTGGATACATTGTACAGCCACCTTTCATTGTAATCAGGATTACTACTGCAATGTTATAACTGCTGTGTGCCATGGTGTTTTGTAAAGGAGACCATCCAAAATAGCTGGTAGAGATTGTTCATTTATCTGTTATGTCAATATTTCAATAAAAAATATAAAACAGGTAAGTTATACATATGTACGCCTATGCATACGTCGTACATGCGTTTTAATTAGTAAAAGAGCTACCACTTGCAATAATGAATCAAACCAGGATCAGAGCACTAGAAATAAAACGTAATCTCCATTCTCCGTCCAGTATAAAAGAATGGAGGGTGTCAGGATACTGATTAAGTAACATGTGATGAGTATAGTTGCAATCACACAATGCCTGGTTTCACTTTGTACACATTGTTACACTGGAGCGTCACCTCTCAGGATCATAGTTTGTCTATCAGATTGAATGAAATATTTAGACAACAGTGGCTTGTGTTTACCTGCTCATTCCGGTTTGCTCTGACCCCCCTCGATGATGTCACAATATTCCCAACTGCCCAGAAACTCACTCAGATGAGAGAATCCCATTATTCCTGCAGCGATCATTGTTAATTATCAGGACGGTCTGAGCACCTATCTATCATTCTGCTATTTTTACCCGTGCACCTTTTTTTTTTGTGTCGTGTAGTTCACACTTACCACACTTGTTTCCAATTTATACCAGGCTGTCACAAGTAAACAACAGCTCCTTTTAAAATAGACATTTCAAGATCATTATAATAAAGTAGTGATAGGTCTCCTTCACTGCAGCTTAGTATAAAGAGTCTCCAAACAGAAATAAATAAAAAATAAAACTTATTTCCACAAAACCAGGACATGAAAAATAAATCAAAATGATCATTTTTGTATATCAGGAATCAATCCAGCCTCTAATATACATGTCATTCACTGATTGTTATAAGAAATATAAAGTTTGTTTTCTTTCACTTTGTTATAATTGTTGCTCAGAAACCTGCAGCAGAAATGAAACTGATACAATGTATGAGATGAATGTTCAGAAATAAAAATCAAGAAAAGATACACTGACCAGTCCTGCAAGATTACAAACATATATAATATATGTATATATCTATATATCTATATATATATATATAATATATATATATATGAAATGTGTGACTTATTTTTTACACTTAGAGATAAAGAGATGAAGCAATTACCATTTCTTTTCTTTCCTGGACTTATTTTCAACTCATTAGCAAACTTGCTTTTCTTTTCACTTGCAATCCACCCATTCCTATTGTGTTTACTTGATATATAAAAAAAAGGCATTTCTGGAGGTGGGGGAGGGTGTGTAAAAAGTTGATGTTTTGTTACACTCAGAAGCATGGTCTGCCAGCAGCTGACTACATTTCCCAGGCTCCCTCGCTCTCCCCCCTCCTCCTGCTCTGATCAATAGAGCTTATTTGAATAATCTGTGAGTTTTTTGGACTCAGGCCAATCAGCTGTCAGGAACCCATGATAAATCGCAATGCATTATTGATAATCATAATTACAGCGACATGCGCATTTCCACCTGAAGGGGGGTAATTACCCGACTCTTGGAATTTGTTGTGAAGAAGGAAATAATTGGCACTATTTGGCTCCTGATGCACGGACCATGTCGAGGCGCAAGCAGGCGAACCCCCAGCACCTCAACTCGGAGGGGCAGCTGTTGGAAGCGAGCGGTGAGTGCGGGGCAGCGGGCACGGTGGCACCGGGGGTGCCTTTTTCTTTTCTTTTTTTTTTTCAGCACTTTTTCTATGTTCGGGTGGACGCGGCTCCTCTTGACCCTTCCGACTGACCATGCACAACATGGCTCGTATCTGGGCAGCCATCTATGATGTGCTCGGCACGGCCGGCGATCTCCGCTGAGATACCTGTCGGAGCTGCGTTTTGCAGCACTTTATCGCTTGTATCAATGTAACAAGTTTATAGTTACTGTACCGAGCGGAGGATGAGCGCTCCCATACGGGGGATCTCGTGTGTCCCAGCCCGGAGACGAGGACCGCCACCTGCAAATGGACTTTAACACTGTGATGGGGATACCAGATCTCCCTGCAGGCTGCCTGTCCGACCCTGGATCTGATACCATGTGACCCTGGGGGGGATACTGGAAGCATGGAGGGGGGGTCCCCAAAATACACCCAGCTTCCATGTGTCTGTACCTCTCGTATCATCCGTGCCATCTCGCATCTTGTTTTTATCACTTTAAATGTCTCTTTTGCACATCACACAAATCGGATAAATATTTAGGTGTGTGTGTGTGTTTAAAAAAA